TAGGGAAAGTGGGAGCTTAGGCCAGTTGTGAAGGTAACTAAAAGCAGCAAGTCAGGATTAATGAACTGAACTGAAGGCACAGGTGTCCTGAAGAGCATACATTTACAGAGTAAGCATAGGTGGTATTATGCACAGCAAAATGTACCAACCTACCAAACATCATTGGACACATTTACAGCACACGCAAAACATAGTTGTCATTATGAATGATCTTAAAGTAAAGCAGAGTCTTTTCAAATATAATGGTATCTAGTGTACTAATGGAACTGTATTCAGACTATGTACAGTGCTCATTACGAAACATTTCTTAAAGTCTACATGTTCAGTGACATTTCATGTAAAATCAACACAAAAATTTGCACTAAATACCAATGAAGTGTTACTTTGCTTTAGCTTTGTTGCAGCCATTTCTGAACAAATTGTTGGAATAATGTAAAAAAAATGTTACTACTAAATTTATTTAAGACAGCAAAAATGTTTTAAGAACTAAATAAACCACTATGTAGTATACTGTCTTTCAATTTTTTTGTAACTTACTTATACACACAAAATACCATTTCTTCAGACAAGGTTATATATGATTAACTTCTTTGTTCATATAGTTATGTATAAAACTATACACAAAATGTATAATTGTGGGGTATCTGTTGTGTACTTTTTTAAGTTTTCAAATGTTTTAAAGTGCAATTGTTTATTATACTAATGTCATTTTAATTGCTATTAAATTATAATCCAGACAAAATTATCTGATGATGTATGTATTCAGTGTCTCCTTTTGTTAACAGTGTAGGTCGGGGTTTCTTTATAAATAGAATTTTTAGTGCTGCAAGTGTATTGCTATGTGTTTTTACCAACAATAAAACCAAGTAACATGATCTATGATGAAGGGATACATTCAGCGTAATTTCTATTTTATTTTCAATTTTGGTTGTCAGATTTTAATGTAAATGGTCTAGTACTGGAAAAGAATGTTCTATTTCAATAAAAAAATCTACAAATACTTCTGTAGCTTTGAAGGTGCTTAATGCATTAAAAAATACAATTTTTGTCACTGAAGTTAAGGGAATTCACATTTGCAGCTAGCAAATTCAATACTAGTTACTGAATTGGAAAAAGTGACAGTACAAAATTCATTTGCACAGAACCATTTTATTAGGTGTTCTTTAAGGGCTTCCAAGTAGTTACTACTACACGTTTCTTCATATTTGGACTTGAACAAGAGCTGATTTCACCATCAGGCAAGGATCCCATCCCATAATGGTGACTTATTTTGGCTCTGATCCAGCTAAGCTTTTAAGTTTATGCTTAAATTGTAAATACGGGAGCAGGCCTGTTGATTTCAATGGAACTTAAGCACTTTGCCCTCAATTCAGCAAACTATTCAACAAAGAAACTTGGTTTTGGATAATTGGGTTTATTTAGTTTATGCACAATACAAACAGGTCATTGTTCACTGTTGGTCTAAGTGGTAGAAGTTACTTATTATATCTCAAGCACATTCCTCAAATTGACAGCTCCAATGTATGGCCCCCAGGAGCCAAAGTAAAGGGCCAGATTCTGTTCCACCTATGGGGTATCTAGGAGCAATCCTCTTCCACTCTATTTAAGTCCCTGAAAAAAGTTAACCACAGAGGGTGCATGGGCCTCCTCCTGCTTGCTGCTTTTTGACACTTACACCTAAAGGTTTGATGAGGGCACATTACAAAAACAGGTACATTAACTTTTTTCAGGGACCAAAGATGGGTGGACAGGATAATACTTAGGCATGTTATAGATGGAATTGGATCTCATCCTAAATGTGAGATCTGAAGAAGTACTTGACACCTTACTGCCTGGTGGAATCCACTTTGCCAGGTTAGATGCCTAGCTTCCTTATACAATGTATTGAGAGAGGTAAGTGCCTTGGAATAGCATCTTCAGAAGCCAGCATACTGAGAGTGTCCACTCAGAAAACGACACAGGCATGTAAGCAACACAGCCTTCTGAGGAATGGGACTTAACTCCAGGTTGCAGAGTATGCATAGCTCCTGTTGAGACTCAGTCACAAGCTAGCTTGCAACTACCTTGGCCTTTTTTTCCACAAAAACACAATGGGAGGAGGCAGTGGGGCCAGTACCACCACAACCCTCCACCCCTTTTATCCAGCAGCCCAGTATTTAAGAGTACCATGCTGGAGAGAGCCAAGTTCTACCCCTTCTCTGCCTGCAGGGACATCAATCCATATCTCCCATCTTCTAAATGAATGTTTTAGTCACGGGGTTCAAGGATTATTTAATTCTGAGGGGGACAATGGTAAAGGGCTCTCAATACCTCCTGTCAATCCTTCTGTGCTTTGCATAAAAGTAAGTATTCTGTAAGACAGCATGTGGGAGAATGACCTTACACACTAACAGTTAAGGCACACGGACATGGAGCGATCTAGGCTTAAAAAGAATAATGAATGTGAAATACTTAACTTTTCACTGTAGTAGGAAATAAAAGGTTCCATTTCACCCCAGGTAAGTTGCCCTAACCACTATTCTAGTCTTGCCCTCTCGCACAAAATTGAAAGCTATGCAAAGCAAACCAGCATTAACAAGGATTAACTGACTAGGGCCTTTAACTTACCAGGAATTTGGAGCCTTTGGACATGCCATTCCTTATCTTTTATGCTTTTTTCAATTTCCTTGCCAGTCAGAAGAATGAATAAGCTTTTATTTATGCTTTCACAATGGTTTGAAGCATCAGTACTAAGCACTTCATGTAGTGAATACATCTTGAATTTTAATAAAAAAGTTAGTTTGAAAGCAGTTTCTGTATTATGTATTTAAAAACAAGCTTGTGTCACTGTATAGAACCAAAGACTCGATATTACTCTGCACGATAAGTTCCACAGGCAGCGCAATGTTGGCTGGATTCATGAAGACATCACTTCCCATAGTCAACATAGCACTGCCTGCAGAACCCTTGGTATAGGCACAGCCACACTGGCAGAAAGTGCATCAGGGTGGTAGACCTTCTGCTGTTCAAGGGAGCTTGTGCAGCTTGAGCAACAAGTTTCCTTTTGTTGACAGGGCCTAGTCACCACAGAAAATCCTACTGTATTTAATGTAGCAAAAGTTCAAGGGGTACAGACATAGATAGCCTCAGTTTATTTAGATTCCTCTGGCAGGATTAACCTTCCTAGATGAAACAAAGTAATTCTTCAGGCATATATTAGAATATTAATATATATTAGAATATGAATTCTAGATGGTATGCAGTTACAGGACTGATTCCTTGCTCTGGTAAGTCTGTGCTTGGTGCAAAGGAAGATAAATGGATTTAAAAATCAACTTTGCAGTCTCTGGATCCTGGGCTGGTCTGTATCAACTTGGATTCCAGACCAATACAGAGCAACCCTCTGCTACTCTCACTTTTTATGGCTGTGAGAGAAGCCACATAAGTACATGCATGCATTTTCACCTAGCCCAGGTAAGACATTGTTAAAAAACTGCTATCTACGCAGTTTTCAAAAACAGACAGTTGTACAATGTTAAACAAAGACCATGATGTAGCCAGCATCTTGCAAGTGAAGGTGCTTAACGTGCATTCAAAAAACAACTGTTAAGTGGAGCATTTAGCACATCTTTGCTGTTCCTAATTTTTTCAGCTATAAACAAATCTAGGCAATAAACATAATCATTTCTACAGCCAACAATAAGCCTTTCCCCACACACTACAGGGGAAGAGAATACCTCTCCTGGGAGTTTATGGATACCCTCTACCATGCCATTCTTTGCATTCAGGAGCCACACATTGCCATCTGTAGACACTGCTGCCAGGAATGCTTCCCTCTCCAAGTCATGACTATGGAAAACAAATGGAGTTGCGTATACACTTGAAGTGGTTTTAAATTTCCACAGTAAATTACCTTCCATATTACAGCTGTAGATAAAGCAGTCATGGGAGCCAAAAAATATTTCTTGCTTAGTTAAGCTTGAGATGCATGGGGATGAAAAGATTGGTCCATTGGTGGAAAACTGCCAAACCTACAGAACAGCATTAAAAAAAATGAACATTCCATTACTGAAGGTTGTACATGTTGCCAACGATACATCTTTAACTTCTACAGACAGGATGTTGACCAAAGAGGGAAATGTATGGAATCACTTTGTTTCAGAGCATAGTGAGAATACAAAGCTAGAGAATACTTACCACACCTATACATGAACCAACCAAATATAGAGAAAATGCCCAAACACTGACCTATAAATCAACTGCCTGCATGGAGATGGCTGTAAGGAAACATAACCAATACTTTAAGACTATTAAAGCTTGTAGAGCCTTTGTAAAACATCTGTTATACTAATATCTTAGTGCTTCCACATCTCTTCCCATCAACCATACAGCAAATCTTTCTTCTCATTTTGTTGGTGCTGTGCAGACTCTTAACCTCCATTTCAGAATACAAGCAGCACCTTTTACTACAAAGATGACGCTTATGAATTGTGAGGCACACTGTGGTTAGAAAAAACAGCAGCTCAGAGAGTGTTAACAACAGAAGTGAAACCTGAGATACAATAATCACTAAGACAATAAAAGTCTTCCCACTGCAGCTAAGAAAACCTGACATGTATTTTGTGGCCAGGATCTTTTATCAGAGATAAAGTAGGAGTTATGCACACACTAACACAAGTATGTCTGCCACAACAGGAACATATTGATTGACAACATTATAAACATTTTAGTGAAACCAATTCTAAGCAGCAAGGTATCTTTACTGAACACACCTGGAAGAAGGAACATGACTTAAAAGCACTACTACTTTAAATCCTGCTGTGTCCATGACATCTTCCAGTTGAACTGAAATCAAAATGAAGTATCCACCCCCTAACACCACACTCACTCAATACCCATGTTAAAATATCTGTATGTGAACCAAGATCCTCAGGAATTTATATGTGCATTATGAATTATGAGCCCTGGGATTCTGGGGCTATTTCTTGTTGTGCCTCTGAGCTTGCGGATAAACTTGGCCAAACATCTTGCTTTCTCTGTATTCCAATTAGCTGTTCTGTAAAATGAGTACACTGTGACTCAGATGGCAGGTGTCAGAGCTACTGTATGTTTATCACTGAATCCTCAAGACAACTGTTACATGACTAAGCTTTATTAATAAAAATCTAATCCAAAATTTTGTGATGAAAGCAAGAAAAAGCACCGCTAAATAAATCGACAAAGGCTTTTTACCTTTTCACCAGAGTGACTAAAGCAGTACAGATTTCCATCCACACATCCGACACAGACGTACTGAGCATTGCAGTGTGGGGAAGAGAAGAGAGGTTTTCCACAGGAGCTTTTCCAGATTTTACCCCCTGTGTCCTGTGAATGATAAAGTGTAATACATGTAACTTGATGCAAAATACTGCAAACCTAAAAGGCAAATCATTGCTCTTGTAACTGGGCTGGGACTAGGAATATCCACAAGGAGAAGAGGGTTCAAGGAAGCAATGATCCCTGGGAAGAGGCTTGGATGCTTTTGGGAAGTGGTTTGGATGCTTTTGGGGAAGTTTATAGTAGTAGGTGCCAAAAATGGTGAAGGGCTGGTTTTGGAGGGCTTCATGTGGGTGGATGATGGATTGCAGGGCCTGTTGCAAATGGTGGCAAAGCAGAGAGAGCCACAATGATATGGGGTGCTAGAGTTGATACAACAGGAGAAATGAAATAATTTTTCTTTTTTTTAAATGTCTTGCTCAAGACATTTTGCAAATTTTTCTTCAGCCAGTTGGACAAAACCAAGCAGTCCCCTTCATGCCCAATGGTTTAACAGATATTTCCCAAATCTCTATTACTTGTCCTGAGTACTACTCCCAGAAGTTAACTCCTTGCAGTTAACCAGAAATTAACTCCTTGCAGGCCACACTTTGCCCAACATGTGGTCTTGGGCAAGCAGCAAGGCCTCTGCTCCTTATGTTTCTATGCTCAAAATAGGGGTGGTAATATTTTTCTCCTTCTCAACAGAAGTGAGATTCTTAAATGAAAAAGACTGTCATGATAAAGCAGGGCCATCCAACTTTTAACCAGCTGGCGGCTACACACCACATGGGCTACACAACCACAAGCCACAGGCACCCCCATGCTGCACTGTGCTGCTTAAGCACCACAGTCCCCACCCTCAGATCCTTGAATGTGTGCTCCCCTGGTGCCTTGGGCTGCGCTGCACCACCCACCCCCTGCGGTGGAAGCAGGAAGCAGAAGCCAGAGGAAGGAGTGATGGGAGGAGCTATAGTCAATTGAAGCCCAAAAACAACAAATTAACTCCTTGCAGGGTGCACACAACAGAGGGGGTGCAAGTTAGACAGGCCTGCTATAAGGCATGACCTTGCAGTTCTTACTAAAGCAAAACTACTCCGAACTACAGAAGGTCTCTTGGCTGAATAAGATACTTAGGTTTGGGACCAGAGATAGCAGGAAAAGTACATACTGGATTTACAGCCAGTAAACATCCTCTTAGTGTAGCAATATACAAGTGATGAGGCAACAGGCTTAGACAAGGAGAAGCAAACACAGCTCCACCCTCACAGTGCAACTTCCAGATGCACTCCTCTTTCTGTCAACAGAAGAAAAATATAAATAAGAATTTATACTATCTGATAACTGGGAGTTAAAAGGTCAGGATGGTATTTCCAAGAGCTCTCAAATGTAAATGTTCTCTCAAAAAGTAGGTTTATTTAGGAAATGCTACTTAAGGGAATATTACTATTCATCATCACTTGAAGTAAGAGTTTCTTCTCCCACAGAGCTAAATATTGGAAACTCAGCAATTACATATGCAACATACTTACCAATATCACTTTCTTTCTCCCTGAACACACACTTAAAGAAGTCTACACCATCTCAAACTGTGGAACTATTATAAGTTGCTAACACAGGGTGTGCACAATCAAGTCTGGAATTAAGCAGGTTGGGAAAATTTAGTGACGGGGGTGTTGCTCTAACCCAATGTTAGCAACACTGGGAGCACATTACGGAAGACTGCCAGAAGTGTTTTATTACCATGTTATCTAATCCCACTTCAAAGCAGCAATTTTAGCTCACCGTTTAGAGTATCTGTGGCAGGTGATTGTCCACTTATGCTAGTGCTCTCATGGTTGCTAATTCTATAGACCTTCAGCTGGTGCTACTTTAGATAAGGCCTAGAGCAGATAGTTTACATTTAAGGTTAGTTAAAAGTGACTTCTTACATAAATATCCAAAGCATATACATGCTGATCATGTGATCCAACGTAGATTAGTCCAGTAGAAGGATCTAGAGCTGCAGAGCTTTTCACAGCATCCTCAGTGGTAAACACCCAGTGTGTTTCCCCATTATTGCTTCTAAGCACATACACTAAACCACTGTAACCTCCTGTATAAAATGAAATGTAATAGGGTGAGGGGGGAAAAAAAGGATTTGCATCAGTTGCACCTGCACCACTGGTGGTGAAAAAAATAGGTTGACTTACCACTATATTTCCTAGCATTATTCAGTATTCAAGCTTTTGCTGACAATATTACCATACAGGTGCAATTAATATTAACTGCACACTGCATTCATTCCAAATCAAGTTTAAAGCTATGCCTTTTTCACCGCTCTTGCAATGCTATTACTGTGAAATTTGTTAGAGGAAAGCATGAGATATTAAACATGGAGGAGGAAGGCATGTTAATTAAATTACTAATATTCTCATTTATGCTTTTGGAAATAAAGACATAGAGACTTACTATGTTCAGTTTTGCTTAATAAAATCCAAGATACGATTCCAGGGATTATTTAGTTCCTAATACTACATCAGCAGATTTTTGTTACCTTCAGGTTAAACAGAAATCAATCAAAACACTTATCTAAAGACTAGTCACTTGTTTTGTGTAGAAATCAAAGCTAATTACACTTTTTAGACTTTAGAACTTAGAAATATACACATATCAGGGATGAACACATTTGTTAGAAAGATAACAGTATTTAATTACCCCGTCTTCACCTGATCAGATGATAAAAGTCCCCCTTGTTTTCATTAGATTAGTAATAAGTGACAAATTAAACATATGCAAGGCAGTTATAGAAACCTTGACATACAGCAACAACAAATTGCTTTCATATAGCAATTCAGACGCCATATACCAGTGGAATAGAGTATGAATCTACCAATACAAGTACCCCAAACTTGCTTTTTAATGGATTCTTTTTCAAAGAACTTAACTGGTTGAGTCATCAAAAACCTGTGCGCCATTTTTAAGCTCTTTAAAAAGAAAGATGCATCATGCTTCTTAAGCAGCCCAATAGTCAAATGCTAATTAAACCCTATAAAAATACCTGTACTCATTAATAGTTATCAGTACAGACCAATCAAGAAAAAGAACAAATCAACTGATGCCAATACTGGCACAAAAAAAAGGAACGAACTTAGATTACGATACATTAAGATGCCCTCCAATAATTCATTCTTGAAACTACTTCCTCTTTGTGTTCTCATTTATTTTCTGTAGTCGAGCTTTTGACTGAGGGGAAGAAAGGAGAGCTGACATTTACATACTGACAGAGATTAAATAAACTGTTTTAAAAATATTTAAATTTTAAAAGAGAAAAAGGATTAAAAATAGGAAGATTAAAATACGTACCAACAACAATGAAACTGCCACACTTTGACACACACGCAGAGGATTCAATGCGGTCTTCAAGAATTCTCTCCCATTTGATTTTTCCTGAGTCTAGATCAATTGCTTGCATTGCATGAGAATGAGACCCAATATATACAGTAGCAGACAGATCATCTGTTGCTGGTATTATAACCAATGGTGAGGCATCTACACATTTGCCAGTACAGGATGTCCATCTTACACCTATTAGAAACTTAGCTATTGGTACAGAATTGTCTTTTCCAGGAGATCCTTGTGGAGGACCTATTTCATCTGCTTTGCTGACATTTGTTAGATCACTTCGCCTCTCTTCAGTTTTCATTATATTAGAAATTACAGGTGAGGACAATGGTGATTGTCTTAATTTGGTTCTTGCCTGTCTCATATTACTTAGATTTATAAAAGACTTGGAGCAGTTCACACTGAACATATGACTTCCTCGACTTAGTGCAACAAATGAAATCAAACCTGCAGCAACAGTGATGTATCCTCTAGATTTAATGTTCACATGTTCTTCACAAGCCTCCTCTCCACTGCAGTCATTCAGTTTTCTTTTCATAGAGGTGTTAGGATTTTTAAGTTGGTCCTCACTTGGAAACACAGTTTTCAGAACAAGCCTGTAAACCTCAGCAATAGAACTGCTGAGAATAACTTCAAGGAGCCCAGGTATGACCTTGCCTACCATATTTTCAATCTCATCATGAAACCGTAGCGATTTTATAGAGTCTCCACCACTGTATAGGAACACTGAGTCTTTGGAAATGCTGAAAGGCTCATCTGGAAGACTTAGAATGGACTAGAGAAGAAGAGAAAATAATCTGTAAGGTACATGCAGAGGCACTAGAAGATTGGAGCAGGGAGCATGTCAAATGCTCAGAACTCCCACTGAAGGTAACAGGAACTAAAAGTGCTCAGCAACTTGCAGGATCATCGCTTTTTTATTTATTTATTTTTTTAAATGGGGGCCAGTCAAGGCCTATGGGCACACACAAATTTCAGCAATACTAATTGAATTTTATGTTCCAATTTTGCCCCCGACACTATTGCCACTGTATTGTAATGATAATGGTCTTATAAACATGTATTCATCACAGGAATCAATATACAGCAAAACCAGACAGTTCAAGACAGCGTCCCATCTATTTAACAAAGAAAATAAATTGAGCTTTCCAGTTCATAAAAAGGAACCTAGTACATAAATTCTAGTTATACAGTAGCTGCTTTGTTGAAAATCTCCATGCCCCAATTACTGGCTCCTTTTAGGGATATCTAATTTAGTATGAGAGGAAGCATTTAGAAACTGCTGACAGACTGTGTGTCAATAATTCATCCTATATACACTAACTGCTTACCACCATTACAGTCTGCAACTTCTTCTTATGGGGAAAAAAATAAATGACCCCCTCCTGGCTGTTACAGAGAAGCTGTATTTAAGTTCTAACTGAATGGATGGAGCAACAATGCTTAATGTAGGTATAGCAAGAATATTCTGTTGTGTTAGTCACACTTATTAAAACTGTTTAATTCCTGACACATGTATAATGATCCACTTACAGTGATAAAAAGGCCACTTAAAATACTACCTTCCATAAATGCTGCAATCTTTCCCACAATTCCTCTGCTCCGTTCAGCTTATTGTCACGCCTTATGGAGTTCAGATGGGCACTGTAAATCTTGTTCAGTTCAGATGTATTAATTTTACCTTCACAGAACAAGAAGGAAAGTAATTTTTCATTACTTTTTTAAAAGTTTATATTTCCAGATACATGCTGTGGTCCAAATACTCACCTCAGTTTCAGACTAGACTTTTTTTATTTGTACCCCTACTTTTTAAACTGATCAATTAGACCCACACAAAATGCCACCTATCTCTGGAAGAATGCACCTTATGACACATGCATAGCATTGCAAACACATATACCATGCCTGCTTCTTCCCCAACTAAAGACAGCTGTTTCACCACTAACTTAACAGGCAGAGGGACTGGCTGAGAATGAAATCTATGCATTTTTAACAGAACATTACTTCTATTGCTACTATTCAGTTCCAAAGAATATAAGGATTAAAATACATATTATATAAGAATGCAGTAAGAGTGTCAGATGTTGCAGAATTAGCTGTATATAACAGCAACGGTTATTACTAAGGGTCATATTAGAGCATGAAGCAATAACATAAGAATTAATAGTGGGTGCACTAGCTATCATTTCCTATTTTGGTCAAGATCCAGGAATAAATAAAAAGAGAGAAACATAATTAGCTTTTATGCAGCAGTTAAACTGAACTGAGAGGTGTGTATCAGCCTCTGCACTAAAAGGCATATGTCAAACCATTTCAATTACCATGTAATGTCAATGGCAAAGCTTCAATCAGCACAAGCTCATCTGGGACTGCATGAACTGGGAGACATTTCTGGAGTTCTTTAAAAGCATCTTCTTCTGCTAAATTGTCTTTGGGTACAACAACCAGGATTAATTTTCCCTGCTGATACCATATTACCGCACAGGCTTCCACCTGACAAAGACTTTCAGCAGCCTGCAATACAAGAATATTTGTCTTATTTGTTCTGAAGGGCAGTAAAAAGGCACAACAAATAAAAAAAGGAAGCATTATTCAATTTATGTTTTGTCACTGACAGCTACTGCAACTGCACAGCAAGTCATGAAAGTCCCACTACCCTTCCACTGTTTTTTGAAGTTATACAATAATTTAGCTCATGAGAAGTGTCAGGTGTCAGTACTGGCAAATTAATTTGTTTAAATCCATAGAACAACTATCACAGTTAGTGGCAAACAACTCAATGACCCATGCCAACATACCACAAGAACAATGCAGGAGCAACAGTGATAAAATTCACGCTGAACATTCATTCCTCCCAAGGATCGCATAGGAGAGGCCTATGTGCTACCAAAGACCTCAAGAATTATGCTGTCTGGAGTTTTCTACTCCTGATAGGGACACCCACGGTGGCACAGTCTATGGGTAATCTCAGCTTTTCCCATAGGAATGCTCATCGTGGAACTAAACTTTTACTACCCTCCTAGTGAGAAAATTCTTCTTAATATCTAACCTAAAAACTTCCCTTGCTGCAACTTGACACCGTTGCTCCTTGTTCTGTCATCTGCCACCATGGAGAACAGTTTCATAGATTCATAGAAGTAGGGTTGGAAGGGACCTTGTAGATCAAAGTCCGACCCCCTGCCTTGGGCAGGAGAGAAAACCGGGCTCAAATGACCCCAGACAGGTAGACATCAAGCCTCCTCTTAAGGACCCCCAGGGTAGGAGCCATCACCACTTCCCTTGGAAGTTGGTTCCAGATCTTAGCCGCCCTGACTGTGAAGTAGTGCCTTCGGATGTCTAGTCTAAACCGCCTTCGGATGTCTAGTCTATGTCTACTCTCTAACAATTTGTGGCCGTTATTCCTTGTTACCCCGGGGGGGAGGGAGGGGGGGGGGGGGAACAGGGTCTCTCCCAAACCCTGCTGGTCCCCCCTGGTGAGTTTATAGACGGCCACCAGGTCCCCCCCTCAGCCTTCTCTTGAGAAGTTTAGCTCCATCCTCTCTGGAACTCCCCTTAAGGTAATTAAAGGCTGCTATTAAATCCCCTCTCAGTCTTTTTTCTAGATTAAATAAGCCCAGTACCCTCAGCCTCTCCTCATACGTCATGTGCCCAAATCTCTTAACCATTTTTATTGCTCTCCACTGGACTCTCTCCAACTTGTCCACATCCTTTCTGTAGTGTGGTGCCTGAAACTGAACACAATAGTTTAGATGTGGCCTCACCAATGCTTAATAGAGGGGAATAATCACTTCCTTTGATCTGCTGGCAAAACTCCTACTGGTGGCTCATATTCAGCTTATTATCCACTGTAACCCCCAGGGTCCTTTTCTGCAGAGCTGCTGCCTAACAGTCAGCCTCCAGCCTGTACCAGCGCATGGGATTGCTCCATCCTAAGTGCAAGACTTTGCACTTGTCCTTGTTGAACCTCATGAGATTCCTTTTGGCCCAATCCTCCAATTTGTCTAGGTCACTATGAATCCTTGCCCTATCCTGCAGCGTATCTACTACTCCCCTCAGCTTGGTGTCATCTGCAAACTTGCTGAGGATACATTCTATGCCATTTTCCAGGTTGCTGATGAATACACTGAACAAAACTGGCCCCAAGGACTGACCCCTGGGGCACTCCACTTGATACTGGCTGCCAACTAGACATCAAGCCATTGAGCGCTACCCTTTGAGCCTGATGTTCGAGCCAGTTTTCTATCCACCCTACACAGTCCATGCATCCAACCTGTACTTCCTTAGCTTTCCTGTGAGAATGTTGTGGAAGACTGTATCAAAAGCCTTGCTAAAATCAAGGTATATCATATCCACCGGTCTCTCTGCATCAACAGAGCCAGTCACCTTGTCATAGAAGGCAAACAGGTTGGTCAGGCATGACATGCCCTGGTGTAACCATTTTGACTGTCTCCAAACAACTTCTTCTCCTCCTAGCACTTAGAAATGGATTCCTTGAGGATCTGCTCAATGACTTTTCCAGGACTGAGGTGAGGCTGACTGGTCTGTAGTTCCCTGGATGCTCCTTTTTCCCTTTCTTAAATATAGGCATTATGTTTGCCCTTTTCCAATCATCCAGGACCTCTCCTGATCACCATGAGTTTTCAAAGATGATGGCCTATGGCTGTAATCACATCAGCCAACTCCCTCAGCTCCCTTGGGTGCATCCCATATAGCCCCATGGACTTGTATATGTCTAAATAGTCCCTAACCTGTTCTTTCGCCACTGTTGGCTGCCCACCTCCTCCCCAAACTGGGCTGCCTGGTGCAGTAGTCTGGGAGCTGACCTTGCCTGTGAAGAAAGCGTTGATCACTACTTCAGCCTTTTCTGCATCCTCTGTTACAAGGTTGCCTCCCCTCTCCCGTAAGGGATGCACACTTTCCCTGATCCTCCTCTTGCTACCAACATACTTGTAGAAACCCTTCTTGTTATCCTTCTTGTCCCTTGTTAGCTGCAACTCCAATTGCGCTTTGGGCTTCCTACTTCATCCCTGCAAGCCCAGGCAATGCTCTTATACTCCTTCCCAGTTGTTTGTCCAAGTTTCCATTTCTTATAATCTTCCTTTTTGCGACTTAGTTTACTGAAGGGTTCCTGCTAAGCTAAGCTGAACTCCTGCCATACTTGTTAGTCTTTCTGCATGTCGGGATGGTTTGTTCCTGCACCCTCAATAAGTCTTTTTAAAGTACAGCCAGCTCTCCTGGACTCCTCTCCCCCTCAAACTGGCTTCCCAGAGGACCCTACCCATGAGTTCCCCGAGTGAATCAAAGTCTGTTTTTCTGAAGTTCAGGTTCCTTACTCTGCTGCTCTCTATCCTTCCTTTCCTCAGGATCCTTAATTCAATTTTTTCACGGTCACTGCTGCCAAAGTTGCCATCCACTACTACATTCCCCACCAATTCTTCCCTATTTATGAGCAGCAGGTCAAGAAGAATACAGCACCTAGTTGGCTGCTCTACCAGTTGCACAAGGAAGTTGTCCCCAACACTCTCCAAAAACTTCCAGGATTGCCTGGGCACTGGTGTATTGCCCTCCCAGCAGATACCAGGGCAACTGATGTCCCTCATGAGAACCAGGGCTTGTGCCTGGGAAACTTCCACTAGCGGTCTGAAGAAACCTTCATCCACAACTTCCTCCTGGTCTGGTTGTCTATAGCAGAACCCCACCACAACATCACCCTTGTTGCTCTCCCCTCTAACTTTAACCCAGAGACTTTCAACAGGCCTATCTATAGTTTCATACTGGGGCTCTGAGACATCATATAGCTCTTTTACATGAAGTGCAACTCCTCCTCCTCCTCCTCTTCCTTGCCTGTCCTTCCTGAACAGTTTGTACTCATTGATGACAATGCTCCAGTAATACAAGCTACCCCATCAAGTCTCTGTTATTCGAATCACGTCATAGTTCCATGACTGTGCAAGGACTCCCAATTGTTCCTGCTTGTTTCCCAGACTCTGTGCATTTGTGTACAGGCACCTGAGGTAACTAGCCGATTGCCCCGATTTCTCAGGAAGTATGAGAGCACCTCCCGTTGCCCATCCTGCTTGCTCTTCTTCCAGGTCTCCCACTTCCCCACTTACCTCAAGGCTTTAGCCTCCATCCCCCAGTGAACCTAGTTAAAATCCCTCCTCACTAAGTTAGCGAGCCTGTCTGCGAAGATGCTCTTCCCTCTCTTTGTGAGGTGGATTCCATCTCTTCCCAGCAATCCTTCTTCTTGGAAGAACATCCCATGGTCAAAGAAGCCAAATCCCTGCTGGCAACACCATCTGTACAGCCAGGTATTGATTTGCAGGATGCACCTATTCCTGCCCGGGCCCTTTCCCTTGACCGTAAGGATTAAAGAGAACACAACCTGAGCTCCAGACCCCCTTACCCTTGCACCCAGAGCCCTGTAGCCACTTTTAGGCAACTAAATCATGTGACAAAGTTTTCTAAAGTGCACAGCACCCAAATGAAAGCTGATGCATGCTGAGTAAAACCTAGCCCTGAAGTTCAACTCAGTCACATAAATTCTAGAACTTAGTTGCTGATGCACAAACAACTGTAGTTTTGTATACACAGTGACTAGTTTTTCATCTCTTCTATGCCTTATTACAAATGTTGCATGCACCACACCTGTTGAATACATTCAATATCAAGACGTTTGCCGTGACGTTTAATCTGGCTGTCCTTCCGCCCCAGGAAAAACATCTCTGCACCTTTCACTCTCACAAAGTCTCCGGTTTCTCTCATTGTACCCAAAGGAACAGTGACTTCATCATCAAGAAAACAAATCCGTTCTTTACCACCTGGAGAAAAAAGATTTTGACTATGTATATTCAATTTTAAAAACAGTAATATATAATATTGAAATATATATATATATATATATATATATATTTTCAACATTAAAACAGTATAAATATGAAATTATGATGGCACTCATATGTCAAGAAGTTGGAAGTATTAAAAAGACTTAGCAAGTTAATAATAACACTTTGCTTAATAAGGAAAGGCAATAACAACTATTGGAACTAAACTTCTGAAAGCCAAATGGCTGCTACAGTTAATTCAACTGGCACCATAAAGTAATTTCAATACATATGATGCCAAATGGAAGGAGGAATAAAACATTAAAACAAAATTACTTTGTACGAAAAATACTACTAATATATTGTTCATTAATTTGGTTTCTCTAAATGTGCCTACACTGCTAGATATGTGGTAATCTCTGCAAACCCATGTGGCCCATGCCATTACAGGGTGTAATGGCAGTCTGCAGAGCAGTTCTCTAAGTCCGATTTAGCTTTATTTATTTTTTTTAAAGAGTATCAGAATTTTTGTTTCTTGGGCTATCTTTAATTAAACAGAACTAGGCAGATCTCTGCTGACAAAGCCTCTGGAGTTTAGATTTTCTTACCACTGAAGAATGTGTGATACTACTGAAGACAGTTTTAAATTTTAAAAGTACAATGGCTTTAAACTCATATATTAATACCCAATTGTATGAAACAAAAATTATGAGTCGAAGCAGATTTTCTTTTACAAAAATCAATCAATCAGTAGCTAACCTAATGCTCTGTTTAAATATTGTGTAACCTATATACTATTTTCCTTCAGGGCATTATTGAACATGAAATATTTTCTCCAATAATAAATTATTTCACTGCACATCTTAAGAGTATTTTGTTACACAGGCAATCTCCCTCTAGAAAACAAAATTCATAGCATGTGCAAGATGGTTTTCCAAACCCAATCAATTAAGAATAATAACAAATAGAAAATGACCTATAAATACTTGACCCTCGCCTTCTAGAACTGTAGAACCACTAGCATCTCTGACCTCAACTGTAGTTCCCAGCAGCGGTGATCCCAGTGGTACAGAGGAATCAGCTCTAAATATATTTAAAAAGATAAATAAAATAAAATAAAATAAAAGTTTTTTTCTTTGAACAGGGAAAAAAAAAACAGAACAGGGTACAGACATTGCAGGAAAAAGCTCCATGTTATAGTTAACAAACAAACCACCAGCATCTTTCTACAGAGGTTCCACTTTACATGAACAATTAGACAAGTTTTTTTTAAAGCTGTAAGCACTACTGAAAACAAGTTTCATTAATATGTACCAAAAAAAGCAGCTGAAGATTACTTCTGGGACACAGCATATTTTCTTTTTCAAAAGAAAATAAAACATTAAGTTGTCAGACACTGAAAAGCTTTAATGTGAAAGGGGACAAGGAGACTCCACTTAGCTTATTCCTCACAATGTTACCCCAGGCTTCTACCTAGCCATACTCCTTCAACTCCTTGCCACTTCCTGACTGCAATTCTGATCCACAAATTAAACTCTTGCTGACTAAATAAAAAAGCAGCTCCCAAAAGCAGCAAAGTGTACCTTTGCCCCAAACAAGCACATCCTCCTACTTTCTCGCTCCTATTCTGCTGCAGCAACACGCAACTTGGTGATTGTGTTCAAAGTTTAACTCAAATAAATGAGAGAAGAAATATTAAAGATTCAACATTTCCTCTCTTACAATTTATAATCTAAAGGTGATTTTTTTCTGTTTTTACCAAGTCATGTATAAACATCATAAAACCGTAACAAAGGATCCAGACTTCCTTCCCCTTTTCAATTTACCTTTAAATAACTTGGGGTTGGAGTCTTAGCTGTACCCAGAATGGGTAAAACACACATGAAGGAGGACTAAGAGCCACAGAGCTTGATCCTTTGCCGCCTTTTTTCTTGGTCTCTTTTCTGCTTGTAAGCTAAGGCTGCATTAAATTTCACTGGTTGATTGCGAGCCAATGAGACTAGAACACAGCAGACATCAATCACACTCACAACACTGGTATCTGCAGGTATGCTATAGGAGCTTTTTAAGTCATTCTCTGTTATACGTGGGAGCAAGGAGCATCAAAGATTTGCCAACCTTTGCATTGCTAGGGTAACATACAAAGAATTGGGGGTAAAATCTTGAAAGAAATTATAAATGTTCCTAATTTATGGATAGCTTCTTAAACAGAACTGAAAACTATTGGAGTTACCTCTGAAGCACAGGACTGTAGTAAAGCACTAAGAATTCCTAAAGTACCTGGTCATGAATGACAGGATTTGCATCACACTAATGGGTGTACCCCTATTGGTACACTAAAACAGAAAGAATATTATATCACACTTAAGAGATCCAGAAAGTCATTAGCAATGCATTATACGTCACAATATATTGAGGATGTTACTTAATTATGTAATGCTAAACAACCATACTCCAATCAACTAGAGTTGGCTCTAATCAGTGCAGCTGTTAGGTGTTCCAGTGTATTTACTTATTCTTTACTATTGTGGGTACTGTACTATAACAAAGGTGGATGGATTTGCCTCCAGGGAAAAGCTTGTCAGGCTGTGTGCTCTCCTTGGCCACCTACTGGCAAAGGAGGATCAATGCAGCTTGGAAGAGCTCTGTGTAAAGGGCTCTTTTGTCTTGAATTCTGCCTCAAATTAATCAGGATCACTTTAAATGAGATGCCTGTTTACAGGCCAGGTAAAATCAATAGGACCTTTAGCTGAATAGCAAGTTATTGTAAAATGTGAGGAAAGGTAGAAGAACTGGACCCAACTCCTGTGTGTCTCAGTGCATACCCATAAAGTAGGAATAAAATTGCTTTGCCTGTTTAGTAAAGCAATTTGACTGATAAGCACTAAGTGTTGTCAGCTCTTCACTGGATGTGAAAAACATGGGGTGAAAGGGGGAAACCTCATCTTGGATTCAAGTGTTGGCCTGGGGCTGGCCTGGGCCAGGCAGTGGCTATGGCTGTAGCTACCAGACCTGTTGCTGCTGCTGCTGCCTGGCTGAAGCTAGGGTGGCTTGAGGTGGTTTGTGGTGGGGGCATGGGGAATGTGGGGGAGACCATGCAACAGCAGGGAAGCCGATCTGGGCCCAGGGCCAAAGCTGAATCTGCAGCTACCACCTGCCCCAGGCCGGGCCCAGAGCTGCCACTGCTGATATTGCCTGGCTGGGGCTAGGGCCAGAGCTGGAGCCACTGTGTACTCCACAAAGAGCCAAAGCTGGGGCAGAGCCAACTCCAGGGGAGGGAAGGGAGAGGTAAATGGGTATTCTGCATTGGTTTTTCACCAGTCCCAAGGAACCGCCCTGCTCAACATGGTATGGGATGGTCAGGGTGAGGGAGAACTGTTACCCTACATCACTGTAGACCATGTAAAGGAACACCTTTAGAGGCTAGACACCTTCAAGTAAGCTGGCCCAGACAGTTTACAACCCAGGGTACACTTAAGGAGCTGGCAGGCATCATAGCTCAGCCACTGGCACGGATCTTCAAGAACTCATGGCACTCAGGTGAAGTGCCCAAAGATTGGAAAAAGGCCAATGTGGTGCCTATCTTCAAGGAAGGGAGGAAAGTAGATCTGGGGAACTACAGGCCTATTAGCCTGACTTTTATCCTGGGGAATATCTTGGAAAAAATTATCAAAGAAACTGTTCTTGACAAACTGGCTGATGGCAAAATCCTGAGGGACAGCCACCACAGGTTTGTTACAAGTAGGTCTTACTTGAGCAATCTCAACTCCTATGACCAGGTGATACATCACCTGGACAAGGGAGAAGAGATTGACGTCATATATCTTGACTTTAAAAAAGCCTTTGATCTGGTGTCCCACGATCTCCTCATGGAAAAACTGGCTAACTGCGGCCTCAGCCACATCACAGTCCAATGGCTGGGGAATTGGCTCTGAGGTTGGACCCAGAGTGTGGTAATCAATGGAAGTAAATCATTGTGGTGCACCATGACCAGTGGTGTCCCCCAAGGCTCCATCCTTGGGCCTATACACTTTAACATCTTTATTAACAATTTAGACATTGGTGTCAGAAACGGACTGGCCAAGTTCGCCGATGACATCAAACTTTGGGGTAAAGAGTCCACACCTGAGGATAGGCTGGTGATCCAGGCCAACCTCGACAGGCTCAGAAAATGGGCAGATGAAAACCTGATGACATTCAACACTGAAAAATACAAGGTATGCCACCCTGGGGAAAAAACCTGTAGCACTGTTATAGGCTCAGCAGTGCTATGCTTGCTAGCACCACGGTCAAAAGGAACTTGAGGGTTATGACTGACCACAAGATGAATATGAGCCACCAATGTGATATCATAGCTGGTAAAGTGAGCAAAACTCTGGCTTGCATCCATAGATGCTTCTCAAGCAACTCCCAGGATGTCATCCTCCTGCTGCACTCAGCCTTGGCGAGGCCGCAGCTGGGGTACTGCATCCAATTCTGGGCTTTACAATTTAAAAAAACATGTGGAAAAGTTTAAGAGAGTCCAGAGGAGAGCCATGTATATGATCAGAGGGCAGGAGAACAGGCCCTATGATGAGAGGCTGAGAGCCATGGGACTCTTCAGCTTGGAAAAGCACAGGCTCAGGGGGGACTTAGTGGCTGCCTCTAAGTATATAAAGGGTGTACATCAGGATCAGGGGGAACGCCTGTTCACCAGAGCACCCCAAGGGATGACAAGATCAAACGGTCATAAACTCCTCCAAGACCATTTCTGGCTGGACATAAGGAAACATTTCTTTACTGTCCAAGCCCTCAAGGCCTGGAATAGACTGCCTCCAGAGGTGACAATTTTAAGAAACATTTGGACGTCTATCTTGCTGGAATCCTTTGACCCCAGCTGACTTGCTGCCCCTGGGGCGGGGGGCTGGACTCGATCATCTTCTGTGGTCCCTTCCAGCCTTAGCATCTATGAAATCTATAAATGCCAGGAATAAGGTTGTCTGCTCCTCCACTGCTATATTCCCCGCCACCGCGGTGTGGGGGTCAAATTCAAGATGACCCTCCCAGTTATTAGATTCTAGACATGGAAAATTATAACAAAGTTGTAACAAATTAAATCAAAATTATAATTTTCCACGTACAGAATCTAAAATATGGGGGGAGGAGAATCTTCTTGAATTCAGGTAAACATGGTAGTAAAACTCACTTACATTGTGAAAAGTGTGACCTTAGAAACTGACCCAAATAAAAGTGTCAAGGATTACTACTATTTCTAAGCCTGTGTTCATCAGCAACTAATGAACAACTCAAGGCCTTATTTCTGCACACAAGGCATACCCACTGAGCTGCTTGAGGCTATAACTGCCAAGAGCTTGCAGTTTTGGTTCACAGCAGTCACCTTTTTAACCACAAGTGCACCCAAAGGAGAAAACAGAAGAATGAAATTTCTCACCGAAGATCAGGACTAAGAACCTCTTCGGGAACTCTGTAGCAAGTGGCCCAGCTTGACACTTCTGTAATGCCATAAAGATTGAAAATGTGTGTTTTGTTTTCCCTGTCCTTCCAGCTTCTCAAGACATCCAGTGCAGGAAATGATTCTCCACCAAGGGCTAAGACACGGAGCGAAGTGCTGGCAGACAACACACTTGACTTAATACATTGAGCTCCAAATTTTCTGAGAAATGTTGGTGTTGCCTGAGCAATATTTAGGAAAAAAACCCCAAAAAACATAAAACAAAATTATCTGTTAAACGCATACATATTTGCTCTTAAGAAACTGCTGCAAGAACCCAAGTGCTTCTTCCGCTCACAAGGAAAAGCAAAATGGATTCATCATTTCAATTATATCCATTTCCAAATGCTTAACACATTTGCAAGAGACTGGATTAGTAAGGAAGAATGGAACAGGAACATCATGTTGAACAGTTTAGTTATGAATTGTTATCCCATCAGAAATTGGTTCTCTCTCTGAAGGTCAAACAGCAAAGGGTTATTGAGTTAAGCAATATAGGTCTTACTCTTGCGTTGGAATCCAGTAATGCATACTCCTTCACCCATGTAGAGATTCACTGATTTCCCTAGAATTCTGCATAGGAGTAGGGTCTTGTTATTGAATTCTAATGGTGAAACTAAGTAACTGGCATTTAAGATCATGACTGATGAAAATGTGTCTAGGGTATGAACAAATGTACATTGTAAAGAGGAGGGAGAACTCAGAAAGGTTCATCAGCTGTTATGTTCTTAGAATTAGTCTGCATAAACCTGAAGTGATACAAGTTTGCTAAATTGCCCTAACTTGGAGACTGAATGAAGCAGAGTTAAAATGGAGCACTCTTGTTAAAACTGTATAGCTACAGAATCATGCTGAGCTAAAAGTTGCATTTTAACAACTTGTATTAGCATGCTTTGATATCAATATAATTGTTACACCTGTCTACACCCTCACTGCATCTTCCCAAATGCAAGAAGAAAATGCAGGCCTCCCTGCTATCAACATTGAAGTAGAGGGATCTTGGAAACTTCTTCCTTGGGGGGAAAAATGGCAGTGTTTTAACAGACATTTGTACAACATTTTTCACCTCCAGATCTACAAGTGTTTTAACTTACACATGAACTGGGCAGATCTACTGATTTCTCTCTTGCTGGGTAATTTTCTTTAGTTACTAGGAAAATCAGAGCTATTTAATATTCAACTGACCATTTAGCCTTTAGTGAATCTTAAGTGAAAATAAAGGGGGGTGGGGGGGAAAGAGGGAGAAGCTATGTGTTCAGTCCTCTCAATTTTCTATAGTCTTTACTCAATCCATCCACAAAATTCAGAACCCTCCTGAGGAGGGCAGCTTCACAGTCCGTTAGAATAAGCACCATCAGAAAAAGTATTCTATAACTAAGCTCCTTAAGGAACTTTTACAATTTATTTCAACAAGAGATTCTTTCCTTCACAGATTAAGAAAGTGATTATAAAGGAAAATGTAAAGTGAAAAAAACTTCTTAGTAGTATCTTAACCAACATCACTTGATAAAACAGTCCAGCTGCTTGGGAATTTTATTTGCTTATTAAGGATGGTCCTTCATGAAACAGGTCAGAGAAAATTAATAAAAACAGCAGAGAAGCAAGAATGATCAAAATGTTTTAGTATACAGGAGAGATACCAAAACAACAGGATTGTGCTAACTCAAGCTACTGTAAACAGAACAAGATCTGGCAATTAACATTTTTAACTGCTGGATTCTTTTCTGTTGTGATTCACTGTTATATAACCCTGAATTTATACCTAGTCTCCAACTGCCTCCTTTTCACAAGAAGAGGAAACTTTTCAAAAAAGCATGCATATCTCCAGGGGTAGAAAGGACATCATAAGGGTGGAATAAGGAATTTAACAAATCTATTTAAATATTAAAGAAAATACCCTTTTCCCGTGTGGGGCCTAGCATATTTCACAATTACAGCATTATATTTAAAAAGCCAATTACTTTATTGCAATACTTAGGACACTTACTAATCAGACTATAAACATTATCTCCTGTATATAAAATATATTCTGCTCTTACAGCTCTAAAAGATTTTTAAAAATGAATTTGCACCCCCTGCAAGAATAGAGAATTTGTAATTTGTTTCACTCACAATAGCTTTTGTATAGTGCCATTTGATACCACACTATCTAAAATAGGGCTTATTCAGTGAATAAAGATTCCATAGGCTCATGCTTTTTATATATGTATTTTAGAGGCAGATTATGTTTTTAGGCTATTCAAATTTAAATTACACAGGAGGAGATTTTAAAATATACTTATATCACAGGAAAGGAAACAAATGCAATTTCGGGATAGCAGCTGGTAGTAAACTACCATCCTGTTTCTTACTGTTGTAAAAGTGACAAGCACTGCTATGTTATAAAAGGCGCTACTGATAGGTTCCTTAGTTGCTTGCATTTCTGGCGATGGGGCTCCTCTCATGACTAAGGGTGATTTACGTGAGTAGAAGGAACATGATCAAATTCACTGTTAAATGTCAAAGTGAATATCAGAAAAAAGTTTAAAAAACTGTTAGCAGCTGCATGTCAGCCTTGTCTTCAGTCGTATCTCATCTGCCATATGACAGTTTAGAACACTCCATCAAACTATAATTTTCAAAACTTCATGAGCCACAAAGAGGCTTGGCAACAAAGAGGATAGCAAAGACACAAAAACGGAGCTGATGATGTAGGGAACAATTCTGTCAGAACTTTAATATTGTTCCTATCCAGTATCATGATAAAGCAGCACAGGCTTACAAAGGAGTAAGACATAGAGGGAGTAAGACACAAAAGACTTCTATCTCAGCAACACAAACTACAAATGACCCACCTGCAATACTGTCACTCTGTGATGGTGAAAGAGAGCAATGGATAACTTCTGAGGCATCATTTTAACTGGGTTTGGTACTATAAGTAGAGAGGCTCCGCTTGTCAGAGCAATGAACAGCTCAACTACAGATGGATCAAATGTCAGGGGTGAGGCCAGGAACAGCACATCATCTTGTGTGATCTTAAATATGGATCTAAAATAATAAAAATTCAGGATTAAAATCAGATGCATATTTTAAAGGTTGTCTGACACAACTTAACAATAGAAGGGGCCTGAGTTGGAATAGCCACCTCTTGGCCTACACTGGTAAATTTTGAGGCCAAACAGGATCATCTGCATTATTTAGACTGACCACAGTAGTTCAGCAAATAGTTCCAGCATCTAGCTCATAACTTCTGGATGAGCTAGATCACATCCTTTAGAAAGATATCTGCCTTACTGCCGGGAAGGTAAATTTTGTTCAGATTCTGAATTGGCTATATTCTTTTACCAATGTCTCTCTAAATCTGGAGCTTTTTCCCATTCGAGGCTGAGCTAGTAGTTCCCCCACTATTTAAGTTTCCAAGGAGATATTTACCAGAACACTGAGCCGGACAGAACAAGAATATTTTTTTTTAAAAGGAAAATAATTCCCTTAGGGGAGGTAGAAAGGGTATCTGAGAATTACAAGATTCACTCCGAAGTTTCTTAAACTATTTTATTCAGGCTACTGGCAATAGAATGCTTATATTATGAGGTACCAGGAAGTAGCAAAATCAAATGAAACATATTAAGAATAAGTGGCTACACAAGGAAAGTAATGAACAGCATTCAATTTAGAAACAAAATGAAAGAAAGCTCCCAGAGAAAAAAAAGTTAGCAAATACATGCAACCAAGAGCTCTGCTGAATTGTGAAATTATTTTGAAAATTCAATCCCTAAATTAGTCCTTTAAAGAAATTTAAAGGGAAATTCAGGACACATGGTCTAGGAAGATAAACTTACTGAAGATGATGAATATTTGGCACAATACATTTATGAGGCACTCTGACTACTTTGGGGAGTCCTGTAGTTCCTGATGTATGTAAGATGTATGCTAAAGTTTGTTGTTTCCCGATATCCAGATAACCCGCTTTTGATGTCTCTATTTCAAACTGGTCCAGAAGGGTTGTATAATCTGTCTCCCGAGTACTTGTATCTTTGGTGGTTTCGTTTTTGTCTTTTGCACCAACTAGATGAAGATTTACATAATCATCCTTCCAATGAGTTTGGAAAAGAGTTAACCCAATGTGCTCTATTGCAGAAGAATTTTGTAAAAACCAGCCTGAATGAGATATTCTGAACTTCTGTAAGAGAATAAAATAGTTAAACAGGAAAGTTAAGCGCACAGCTTTATCTTATTGTCTCTGTTGTTCACTATACAATAGTGGAAAGCAGACCAGATTTTTCATAAGCAAGCAGTGACTGAGTAGCAGTTTGTGGGACCCCCTCTGGGAAAGGTTACTGAAACAGTTTTCAGCATGGAAGCTCACTCGTGTGGATGCTCTTAATAGTCACTTATTAACACCAAGGATGCAAAAAGAATGACCCAGGATAGAAGGAAATCACTAAAGTTTAGGGCTGGAAGGGACCTCATGAGATCCTCCTGCACTGGGCAAGAAAGACTGCTGGGGTCAAATAAATGGTGAAGCCTTGTTTGTGCCTTTTCAAATTCTGACAGTACAGAAAGGATTCAGGAAAAAAAATGACTGTCTTAAACTATATATTTGCAAATTTCCCTAAACAGCTCTAAATCTCACTTTTAACCTACATTTAAGAGGAGCAAGACTGGAAAGTTCCTAAATACCCATGCACACCATCGTGGAATGCATTACAACAGGGGAATCAAAACTCATTTGGCCACACATGCTGGATAAGTGGTGCAGGACAGGTCCACAGACACCCTCCCCCTCATGCCAGATCCAGCACAAGTGGTGTCCAGTCCAGTCCAGAACCCTCACCAGAGACAGCACCCACAGACCAGTCTAGGATCCGTGCTACACCCAGTGCCCATCCTGTATCAGCCTTGCACAGGCACTACACGCGACAGTCTAGGACTGGCTGGGGCAGGTACCATGTGCAGCATGGGTCCCAGATCCTTCATGAAGGTTCAGTGTAGTGTATGGGTCAATTTTGAGACCTTGAGGCAGCCTCAATGGTCAGATGATGAAGCTGTGTGGGTTGGATCTGGCCTGTGAGCTGCATCTTTGACACCTCTGTGTTACAACGCAGAAGCAATTTGTTAACAGGAAAATAAGATAATCCTTAGAGGAAAACATTCAGATATCTCACATAACCTGAGAATGTCTGTAAAAACAAAACATCCCATCACTCACTATCAAAACAGAAAAAGATATCTATTTACGAGGTTCTGATAATAGAAAGGGCAACTACCTTAAGAGCTGCAAGTTTCTAAACCACAGCTGATATTCCTTTTAATGGCTTTAGCACTGACCTTTACTTTGTCATTCTCAACAAGGATATATTGGAGATTACATTTCTTCATAAAATAAGTAGATAACATTGGTGGTGCATCTGGATCAACAGGAGAATATGCAGCCGGTACTTGAAGAACTCTACCAAGGCAAAATTTATGCCCAATTAAGAACATTTAAAGATAAAAAAGTTAAAAATAAACCTTAAGTTTTACATAAATTCTACATGGCTTCTTTTATCCTTTAATGTCCTTTTAATTTGTAGATTCAGGCATTTTTAATGTAGATAACAGTAAGGTTTCTAACCATTCCTGTTATTTTCTTTCAAATACGGTTGAAAGGAAATAGTTACAGCTATCCATATTTTTCTGCAACCTGTATAGCACGAAACACCAAGAAACTGGTCTAGATGAAAATACTTGTGATTCTTCTTAGCCAAACAAGTTGAAGATGCAAGGAGTGAACCCTATGCTATTAAAATCATCAGAAAAGATTCCACTGACCCAAGCTGGACCTGAATTTCAATGAGTTTCTGTTACTACTTAGAAACCAACGATAACTGTACAACCAAGCATGCATACACACAAATACATGTTAAGAACATCATCCTTATTTGTTCAAGATACCTGGCATATGAATATTTAAGTTACAGAATTTTACCCTCATGAGTAAATAAATGTGAATATATGTATTATTCCATTCTAATTTACTGTAGTACCTCTTTATATTGCAGTTTTCCTTAAATGCTTACTAACATCACAATTGGATCTATGCTCCATCTAGTGGCTTTAATTTTAAAATGAGACTTCTTCTTGCCTCTGTGTTTACCAAAACCCTAAGCACTTAGGTGAAAAAAATGGCTTGCATATTAATAAATCTGTAAATGAATACTTTGCTAAGGCTTGCATTTTACAAACAGTACTGTTATTTGGGTTTCCTCACAAATTAATTCTTGCTACAGCAAAGCTAGCCCAAACAAAACATAGGAGCTGAAATGCTGACAACGTCAGCTCCTCATTTTTAGACACATCTTCCTACTGGAATCTACAACCTTGAGCTGAGTATCTTATATAATAACATATACTCCATTCTTCTTCAGGGGTTAGGTACCTTACACTGGGCAGCAGGGAAACAACTATCTCCAGCTGGGATTCACAACTCTCTCCTGGTGGGAAATGCCTTTGCCAGCCCCTTACAAAATATAGTGAAGGCAAGAAGAGATGTTGTTTCCTTTGTAGATGCAGACATTTTTAATGTAGATAACAATAAGGTTTCTAACCATTCCTGTTTATATGAAATAGTTGAAAGAAAATAATTAGAACTATCCATATTTGGACCCTCTGCTGCTTTCTTTTCCAATAGCTCAGTGGTTAGAGCCCTCCCCTTCAATACCAACTGGACCAGAGGAAGAGCATTAACTCTAGAGCCTAGTGATTAAGGCACTCATCTGAGAGGAGACGAGACAAACAAAGGGTCCCACCTGTTCCAAGTAATATTCCACTTTTAAAGCAATCCAGTTTGCAGTGAAAATTCAGAAACAAACTAGGTTTCCCCTCTAAAATGACTGCTTTAACCACTAGGCTTGGAATACTAATCCCTCTCTGGCCCACTGAATATTTTTCATACAAAGTAGAATAGGGTCAGCAAGATGGACTGCCCAATAGCATGGTGGTTTCAGCATGCACCTGGGAAGATAAAAACCACTCAAGCAAAGAAGGAACCACACCTGGCTCTCTTACAGTACTCATCCCTAGTGCAATCACTGAGCTACATAAAAGGTAAGGAGCAGAAACAGCACCACTGCATCCTCTTTCATCCACAATTTCTACAAGGCCTGACAGGTATGCTCAGAAAATGCAAGCCAGATTGGGCACGGCAGGCAACACAGGTGGAAGAATACCTACTTTGTGAATCTTGAGAGGGTTTATGCACTGAATTCCTCAGCACTATGAAGTTCTAGATATGCCCAGAAATTGACATTTAGGTACCCAGGAATTTTTACTAGTGAAAACTTAGGTCAGATTTTATGGACACCGCAAGTTACACTGCTTGATGCTAATGCAATCTAGGCAATTATAACACTACAAAGGGCTAAAGTGCATCTTTCACACACTGGTGCACATGCAGATTTTATGTTGGAAATATTATGGCTGTGAAGTACAGATAAAATGAAGAGAGATTTAAGAAATGACATTTAAAGCCCAAACTTGTCAGGGTATTTTCCCTAGTTAAGGGCTACCATCTCTGTTTGTTTTGAATGTAAAAACAAAATGATTTGATTGAACACAGTTATGACAGCTAAACATCACTGAGCAGTAAGTACATACTAGCTCAAGAAATTTAAAACTTGTAAAAAAAAAAAAAAAAAAATCCCTTGCAAAGCTTTATGTATCATAAGCCAAGAAGCCCTGGAATGTTTTCCTCCCTGGCTTACTTGCTGCCCATCAATTAAGATACACAAAATTCCAAACACTTCATTTTAAAAATCAGATAATATGGAACTAAAACAAAGACATTGGGCATTGCAAGCACCACAGTGATGGGGGCTTTGAAAAGTGCCCATTGCTCCATTGCTAGCAGTTGTACAAGTGGCAAAATGCACGTCAGCGTGTAGAAAATGGTGGTGGTCTGCTTTTGAACTAAAACACAGAAGGCATTTTAGTTCCTAAGTGCGCTGCCACCATTTTCTCTGTGCTGATGTGCATTTTGATGCTAATACAACGGCAAGTGATGCAACACCATGCACATCAGCTAGTGTGCAGAGCAGACTCAATTAATCGAATCTGCTCCAACGCGCCAGATCTATGGCACATGTAAACACAAAAATGTATGTGTATAAATGCCCACAGTCTACAACAACTTGAATAATTTTAAAATGACTCTGCATATTAGGGGAATAAGGAGATAAACTTCCTTAAGAGAGATGAGATAAACAGAAGAACAAGTATAAGTATTCAAGGCATTACCCTAAGATCCAAGATGGTAAATTTATTCCTGGATAGCAGTAGAGACCTATTTCACACCTTCTTCTCTGATCACAGTGTTTTTGCAGGAAAACTGTTAATTCCGTGGCAAGGTTCACAACCATGTTGTAAGTGTAGAAAATTGGAGGCTTATCATTACATTCATCAAAACATACTGCATTTCTATCAGAATATAGGGTGGCTGCCTGATGCACCATCTCCTGAAGAGTCATCTCAAAATACAGATCTTCAATCCTTTGAACAGGTAAAAAATAAAGGGAAAAAAAGTCAGACTGTGTTATAATACTCTTAACAGTATTAATATTATAGGCGTTCTAGTCAGTTAAGAAAAAAAATCCAGGAAAACTGAATGAGATCTCCTCTGAACATTATTTTTACTAGTAAAACCTTAATTTCTAAATCTGAAGTCAGTATTTTTACTGAATATTATTTTTGTTGCTGAAAATACTCTGTCATATATGAGGGCTCTGCAGTGTATCAAAGAGGCAGTTACTTACTCTTGCTTTCTTAATTAGTAATTTAATATGATCAGCCAATTTTCAGTTTCATCTTCCCAGGAACTCCTGAAATGCATACTTTTAAAAACACTGGTGGAAATTATTTTCCCTTTGTAGGCAAAATAACTTTCCATTTGGAATGTTTATTTTTTAGGAGGGAATATTTCTGCTACTATACTTCTGTAGTTGCTTGTCCATATACACCTTCTCTTTTGGAATCTTTGAAAGTGAATTTAAAAAAACTTATTTAAAAACAATAATTTTCAAGATGCCAATTTACTATTGCCTGATAGAACCACCATTTCACACCAAATCTTTAATCAAATGTGTTTTAAATAGGCAAGTAGAAACAAATGCAAGATAACTGAAAATTAGTTTTCCCTTTTTTTACCTGGTAATGCCTGAGTTCAAAGTTCTGTTTCTCCATCAAGGATATAATACATCACTGTTTTGTAAACTTTCTCTTTTCCCCATTCTTAGTACATGGATTCGTCATTTAGATGAGGTAATTACATCTTTTCTATGTTGAGATTATTTTGTAGACGAATAGGTCTTTTACGTATTCGCTAGGCAAATTTGTGTGTGGGCATTGTAAAAGAAAAATGATGATTGTAAGACTTTAAAAATATTTAAATTCACAATATTCGTAAACATGTCTGCACTCATTTTTAGGATGAAACACAACAACAGGACTTGTCTGTAAAACAAACATACTACCCCAACAGCTTATTTTAATCCAAATGGCAACTGCATGTCGCTGGATCAAAATCCAGGTGTTTGCATTGCATTGGGGCTCTTCTGTTTATTTTATTCCAATAAGCAGTATTATTTAATGCAACTTTCTACGTAAGTAAGTTGATGTTTACTACTGAGGGAGAAACACGTCTACCAGTTCCAATGAAAAGAACATCAAAGGGCGAAGAGACCACAACAATTACTTTTTTAAATTACTAATGTGATTTGAATCACTTAAAACCACAACGATTAGGAGTACTGTATGTTCTTGCATATAACCAACCCATCACTTTTTCCTCCGAAATCATCTCGCAAAGACTGGGCTGTGCATTATATGCTAGAAAAACAGATCCCCATAGATGGGGGAGCCATAGCAATTCATACAGTCACCGTTCCCTCACCACTACATTTCTGGCATAAGAACATACCCTTTATGCAACAGCACATGAGATTAGTCTGTGGCCCAACCCCGTGTGTGGCTCTGATGTGCAAGGTCCAACCCAGCATGTAGTTCTGGAGCCAGCATCTGGCTCTGGATCTGGCTTGCCAGGTCAAACCCAGCATGTGGCCAGCATGCAGCCCTGGACCCAGCATGCAGTTATAGACTCAATATGAGGGACCCAGACTTGCCACAACAGGTCTGACCCAGCAAGGTGCCCTGGAACCAGCCTGAGACCCTGGTTTGGCAGGTTTGGAACTGGGACACGGCCCCAGCCTCAGCACACCAGGTTGGTCTGTGGGCCCCATTTGGTGCTTGGGACAGGCAGTTCTTGGCTCCCTACTTGCTGCTACTCAGTTTACCAGACAGAACAATTTATTTTCTCGTTCCAGCTGCCTTTTCAAAATAAGGTGTGTACTACATGCAAGAGTGTTCGGTATGTGAAAAAAAATACGGTAATAAAGAGCCAACATGTTCCTTCAAAGCCAAAAATCTTTGCAGTTTTCTTTACACATAGGGAAAGTTGCCATTTATTTACTGATCTGTGCTACGTGCATTTTACTTCCAAACATTTGGCAATAAATCCTTCTTGGCACTGCTTTAAATTGGTCAAGTTCAGTTCTGTTGAGTTCGTTCTTATCCACGTACATTCAGTGTCACCAAGCTGTAATTCAGCATGACACGCTCAAAGAAAAAAAAATGAGAAAGGCTGACAGTGGGTATATTTGTTGGGTTTTTTGTTCTGTTTTTAAATAGCCTCATAGATTTTCCTGAGGGCTGTAACTGCACCCCGCAGCAATTTACACTTTTTGTTAATAGATACAATACCACAAATACTGTTTTAGGAGGATGAATGTTCTCTTTATTTGCATGTAAGTAGTTTGCTCTAATGCAGGGGTGTTCCACCTCCAGCCCACAAGCCAAATATGGCCAGCAGAGCCATCCCATCCAGGCTGAGGTGGGGGTCTGGAAATTTGGCAATGGGAGAGGCATTCTCCCCCCTGGTAAAATCCCGAGTCTTGGGTCATGGCCCGCTCCCCTTGAGCTAGATTAGGCCCCTTTCCCCCGTAGGGCTGTGCCGGGGGGGGCGGCCTACGGCTGGATACTGCCTACCTGCCTGCCCCAGGTGCTGGGTCCGGGGCAGGGGCTGCCCTCTCCCCTAAAGGAGGCAGGCGGAACCTCGCGCCCAGCCGCGTGGGGAGGGAAGGGGGTCAAGGGGCCACCACAGCGCATGCGCCATCCCCGCCGCGGTGCCGTTACTGGCGCGAGGAAAGGACCGGAGCGCGCGGAGCCACGCGCTGGGACCCGGGGGGGAGGGACACGTCGCACATCGCGCGCCGCGAGGGCCGGGCCGGGCCGGCGGCAGGACCCCTTGCCCCAGGCAGAAGCAAGAGCCACACGCACCTGCTGGGCGCCGAGCGGCAGCCGCGGGAACCTGGGCCTGCCCGCGACAACAGCAGCTTTCACACAGCTGATTGGTTGCGGCCTGCCTGTGTGTGGTTCGACCCCTCCCCTCAGGAGGCAGCTCTCATTGGCCGAGCGCTCGCCACAAAGCCGCCTTTTCATTAGCTAGCGGCTGCTGCGTTCTGATTGGTTAGGCGGAAGGGGGCGGGGAGGCGGGAGCGTAAGAAGCGAGTGCTGCCGCAAAGCACGTTGGGTTGCACTACTCGGCTTGTGATTGGGTGCTCCTGAGAGACTGGGGGGGGGTTCTCCTCAAGCATGAAGTGGTACAGTCCAGCCTGCAGCTCCTCCCCTGTCAGCCCTGTGGGGTCTGGGGCCCACCCAGTGGCGGGGGGCGGGGCGGGATCCCGGGGCAGGGGTGAGCTGGTGAATGAACCAACTTGGGGCTGTAGCGGAGGAAGGGCCTGAGGTGCCAGTGCTAGGCTGCTCCCCGGGCAGCAGAGCCCGCAGGGTCCTTGCCTGCATGGGAAAGGCTGGGCTGAGTCCTCCTGGAAGGATTTGAGACGGGTTGAGCCCCTCTCGAAATTTAAATCGACACCACCACTTTATTTCCAAACCAGTTTATTCCAGAAGGCTGGAAGCAGCCCCCCAGTATGGGACAATGCAGCACCGCCCCAGGGACATGGGGGCCCATTACCAGCTTGGCAGGTTTTTTTAAATGACCCCACATGCTAAGATGGTGGGATTGCCAACGGCTCGTGCCCACCCACAAATGTCTGTTTCAAGGTAAAAGTTTCTTCCTGAAAGCGTAGATCAAAAATAGTGGTAATGTCTGAGTCTAGAGCTTCTCCTACAGCAGTGGTCACCAACCAGTCTACCTCAATCGGCTGGTCGATCCTGGAGCCTCTGACAGTGGATCTCAGTCTGTCAGAGGCTACACAACCAGGAGCGGCAGAACGCGGGTGGCTGGGCTGAGCCATGCCTCCTGCCACCCAGCCTGGCTGGGTGAGGGGTCAGAGACTGGGGTGCTTGTCTGGGAGGAAGGGAGGGGTGGTGGGGGACGGTAGATCCTGGGGTGTCAAAAAGTGATCTTCACCATAAAACGGTTGGAGACCACTGCCCTACAGATACTCTGGGAGGAAGCATTTACACATACATGTGTGCATCTAAAGGATACAGTGTCAAGCAGTTGGATTAGTTTGAAATCTAAATCCAAGTGTCCATTAGACTGCTACCTGATGAAATATCACCTTTACCCCTCCCAACCCTTTTTAAAGAGTATTTATCTATACAGCAAATCTGAATGGGGCATAGTGTCTGATAATGTTGTGTTTCTTTCTGTTAGGTTTTGGCAGTGTCCAGGGAAAAGACAGCGCTTAATCTTTTAACTTGGGGCTTCATCCTGAATGAATCAGACGCCTGGCTCTGGCCAAGTTGGCCATCTGTA